ATGTAAAATTACAGAAACGTTCGCCTGGTTTTGTAATAAGATCCAACGTTTGGCCAGTTTCCGTTTGAAATGTTGTCTGCAAAACAAAATGAAGTTTTGTGGGAAAGTTGTCAACAAAGAGTTGCATGAGAGTTGAGAAGCGAAAACTCTCGTCAAAATGTGAACCAGCTCAAAATTGATGGGAATTTATGAGAGTTGATGGTGCAATTGCCGGCGAGAGTTCTTGAGAGTTGGCAGTCACGCGAGCTTGGTTAGCTGTTCTTAATGCTTTCCCAACACTATCATGTATTCTATTGAAGTTAAAACATAGTTGGAACATTCATCAAACCTTTATTTTGTTAATCTATAGCTTGAAATGTCCCCTGTAACAATGTGTGACTGTCAATCAACTCTCACCAAATCTCAACCTCGTTTTATCCGGGGTTTTATAGTGTACAGTTGAGAATTTACCCGATGTATATGATATTACTCTGAATATTATACCTCACAATGAGCTTGTCCAATCAGAGAACTAAATTTGTACCACATGACCATGGTATTTTTCAGCGAATACTATGACCTAGGCAATTTGAACCCTGGGTGTTTTACCCGGGGCCATGGTATTCGACTTCGAATACCACGCTTGAGCGGGAAATTCGACTTTTAAATGTAAAGTTATCAAAAGTTGTGTTTTGAAATTAAAAGTTAATTGAATGGTATTTGTTTTCTACTTATTTTTGAAAGGTTCGGTATAATATACCATTTATAGACCTTTCACTCGGGGTATTCCACAAAAAATTACCCTTTTTTGTGGAATACCCCTCGTTTCAGGTCTATAACTGATAAGTGTGCATCTACACCGGGCAAGCTGAAAAGTTTGCCTGACCACGGTGGGAATCGACCTAAACATCAACACACACAAATCATTACCCGATGTAGTAATGCAATGAGATTTGGATAACATTTCTTATCCTGAAAGTTGATGTCAACCAGTTTATAAACGGAACACTCGAGCATAAAAGCATCGTTGATCGCGACCAGACCAATTTTTTCCTGAAAAGAAAGTTCTGACAATATTTAGAGTGCCTTGGAGACGGATGGTCCGTCTGGACAAACTTGGGCAAAGGAAAGATAATTTCGTTTCATAATTTCGGTCTGTGTATAAACGCGAGCAAACCATAGATATCTTATATACACTAGATAGCGCATCTCTTTTAGCAAAATTGAAGCCAAGAATACTCCAGTGGCTACCCCCATTTGAATAGATGGCGGCCATGTTGGTCGTTCCCACTTGCTAATAAACGCTTAAAAACAACAATAACTTTCATCATTTGAATAGTTTAAAAATGTATTTGGAACAGGGTTAACTTAAAGTTTAAGTTCCCTGTTAAAGAAATAGAAAACATACGAATCTTCTCATTTCATGGGAACGACCTGAGACTGCAATCACGGCTTCAATTTTTAATTGCAGAATAATTAGATGCACTATCTAGTGTATATAAGATATCTATGGAGCAAACAGACAGATCGGCTACTATCAAGACGAGCTAACTCTTGCGTGAGTAGTTCGTCTTGACGGATGGTCCGTCTATGTGTATGATGGCGTCTATGATGACTCTGGCTTCGTGGCACAGTCTTCAGAGCATGCGCATTTCACCTCTGAGATCGTGGGTTTGATTACCCTGGATTCCAGAGCCTTCGACAGTAAATAATAAATTGAAATGTCGCGAAGGCTCTGGTTCAACGGGGCGATTCTTTGATTAAACCGCGCCAATCACAAAACAGAATTAGTGGTTTTAGTACAGAATCTGTACTAAAACCACTAATTCTGTTCGCCCCGTTGAACCAGAGCCTTCGCGACATTTCAATTTATTATTTACTGTCGAAGGCTCTGGAATCCAGGGTAGGGTTTGATTCGCGCTCACTGATAAAGATCCGGGCTTACGAGTTACGGATCGAAAGCTTTGCAGTAATAATACACCCTTCCCGAAAGTACGTCACTTTGGCTATAGAGCCTCGTTTTCGTGTATCATACATCAGTTAAAGGCCGCGTCTCGATCACGAAAACGAGGCTCCATAGCCAAAGTGACGTACTTTCGGGAAGCGTGTATTGCATGTAAGTAATTGAGTAATTTACGTGGTGTTTCCACAAACACTAAAGTATTATGTGAGCGTAATACTTGATGTAATCGGTCATTGAAAAGCCCCAATGGGGAGTGAGCTGAATAATAATGTACTAATGTAATGTAATGTAATGTAATCCATCATCAGACAAACTATGAGGAAAATATCAGGGATGATTTGTTCCTAGAATCATCGCTAGTATAGATGACATTATTCTAGTTAGTTCTTCTGGATAATTCATCTTGTGTTACATTAAGACTCATGATCCTTCAGGCGGTTAATGCATCTTTGGAGTTGACCAAGCCAGTCAAAACAGAAAATTTGTTGAAAATTCTCCTTCACCTGTTTATACCAACATGGTTTTCCACGTCGTGTCTGAGACTGGTCCATGACGTCATCAGCCACAAGAAACGACGCTTGGAGCTAAAAACAAATCAACAAAACAAATCATCATTTCTAGTGCAAGGTTAAGTCTGCTTTACAGCATACTGTCGAGATATGGTCTGGAAACTCAAACGGTTATAATGAGCTGGGATTTTATGTTGAACCGTACCTTACACCGTGCACATCCTTTGTTTTAGGTTTATTAATATTTAAATAGCATGGTTGAATGGCTGAACTGAAACGTTGCTATTGGATGATTCGTTCATTATACTGAAATACATTGTGTTCATTGACCGTGCACCGTCCACAAAATTGCATAAACGCGAACAAAAAGATAGAACAAAGACTTTAGCGAAGTTTCCAAACCATGTTTTGAAAGACTATGTTTACAGTACATGCACCATCAAGGTTTCTGTGAATCACAGCAGAGGTAAATTCTAAGTTTTGAAGGATTTGTAAGAAAAGTTTGAGGGAACTGGCTCAGGGTTTAACATTGAATCTCAAACTCATTAATAATTCATGAGTAATTTAGCCAACCATATTACTTTATTTGCTCACATGATAATACTGGATACCTGATGAAGTATATTGATTCAGTCCTTGGACTGGATCAAAATGAATTAAGTAGTGATTTATTTGTCATCCTCCAATAGACCTTTCCCCTTATGAGTAACATTTTGATCTAGCCAAGTCTGGACAAAAATTTATCACAGCTTGAAAGAGCATCACAAAATTAGTAATAGTCTGAAGTTTCGTTGCGAAATGTTGTAAAATGCGGATAATATAGCCTTGCAAGTTTGCCGTTTTTCAGTCATTTTGTATTACGCACGGGAAATTGATAATCAGTTTGATCATCTGATTACCAATTTCCCGTTTGTAATACAAAATGACTGAAAAACGGCAAACTTCGCAAGGCTATATTATCCGCATTTTACAACATTTCGCAACGAAACTTCGGAATATTACTAATTTTGTGATGCTCTTTCAAGCTGTGATGAAATTTTTGTCCAGACTTGTCTAGATCAAAATTTCACTCATAAGGGAAAAGGTCTATTCAGACAGGACTAGATTTCAATCAAGTCCTCGCATTTTGATTCAGTCCACGATCAAGTCTAGTCCAGTTCTCATAGTCGGAGTTGAAATATTACATCAGTTTGCTCAATCAGACATTTCTTACAATTCCTCCAAGTTGACCACCATCGGTGCTCTGTTACGTTAATTCCAGGAATGCAAAATCTTACTAGTTCAACACACCATGCCAGAGCAATGGCTGAGGAATATTCATCATCCGTGGGTGTCCTGTCTCCAAGAAGAAGACGCCATGTTGCCAGAACTGTCATCCCGCGATTCATTTTACCTACGGGAATCCAATCAAACATACGTTATAGCAGAATAACTGAATAAGGCTACGTTTCCACTATACCTGATAGCCTACTGATACTTTCCGTACTCCGTAGCGGCGCGAAAAAGAGAGAGTTTGAGCAAGACAACGAAGTTGGACGACGACGACGTGGTTGACAATTTTTGCCTGTCTTGCACATTACCTTGCGCATAGTATCTTGTACAGTGTAAATGTAGTCTAATTAAACTTTACTGTATATCCAGGGTGCGATAATTCGCGTACTGTGATCTCTTTATGTTTACAAGGAAAGACGGAAACATACCTCCTGGCACATTGTACATGAGGGACTAAAATACGAAGAAAAAATACATTTAAAAAACTCAATAATTCATGCCGTGTCAGTGGTTTTATATGTGATAAAAAATCATGTTCATTTACATAAACTTTAGCTTTGATTTTCTCGCCTTAGACAACGTTTATTCTTAGAATTACTTCGCCAATGAACTCATAAGATGGGTCGTTTTTTAAGCCATTTGAAACACTCGCAGTCTGTGCCTCATCAGATATAAGACACTCTAACATACATTATATATACTGAAAAGTAAAATACTCCTGCTTATTTTTTTTATCAATTCCTACCATAGTCTGGTTAATGAAACCAGGAGTTCATGGTTAAAATGTTTTGAGTAGCAAAGTTTAGTTAAGTCTCCTACAAATTAGGTGACCACATCCATTTAAGAAAGCTTGAAACTGGTTTCGTAAACCATATGCAGACACAAGACTTTGCTATACTTCGATTTTCTTAGTAAATGTTTATAGGCTAGCAAAAAATATCCGGCATACAAAGGACATGCATTTCAAGGCAGCCATCTACAAGCTATATGCACCGGAATCGCAGAGTCGCAGCTTCGATTCCTGCCAGAGGCCGCCTCAGAGGGCCTATATTTGCGTTTTCCACAACTACTCCCGGTTAGATGTAAAAAATGTATGAAACTCAAAATTTCCATCTACAAAATCCTTCCACAAACTGAAAACTAGTCCGTTCAACAGGGTTCGTAGTCTCCAAGACCAAAAAATTACAGAGACTTTCAAAGATTTTTTCTGCCTGTTGTCAAAGACTTTTCAAAGACCTTTGAGAGCAATCAGGTGTCAAAAAATTGCGATGTATAAGGACCATTTTTACCAGGTAATTAGTCCCGTCAAATCACATCCTAAAATGCACTTTTTCGTCGATATTTGCGAAAATCTTGCTTCAATCAATCTATTTTATTGCCTAGGAAATCGTATAATCAAATAATCACTAAAGAATTTAAAGACTTTGAAAGACTTTCAAAGACTTTTCAAAGACCTTAAAGACCTACATTCAAATTTAAAGACTTTCAAGGAAAGACTTTCAAATTTAAAGACTCACAGAAAGTAGTATCTTAATGCATACAGTACCTGTCGATAATGTTCAATCGCATCTTTGGTTTGCTCAAAATGAGGGCCGATGACTTGATCGATTATTTTCGGCAATGATTCTTCAAATTTTTTTCTATCACACGCCAACTGAGCTTTTCTTGAAGTGACATCCATGTTTGAAGTGAAGTTCAAACCTACAAAATGTTGAACTGGTTAGCGCCAGTAGAGTAGGCTGCATAGCCAGCCCGACAATTTAGTCCCACAATGCAAATATTTTCGTCAGTTCATTAAAGAAATGAATAATGATAATAATTTTGAATTTGCATAGCGGGACTAAATTGTTGGGCTGGCTACGCCACTGGTTAGTACAATCTACATCACCATTATCCACCTTATCACAACCCGCACACCCGATCACCTATATATACATGAACTTATGGTTACAGCTCAACAGCTGGCCTCTGTAGCTCAGTTGGTTAGAGCGCTGCACCGGAATCGCAGGGCCTTAGGTTCAATTCCTACCAGAGGACCTTGTGCTGCATTTTTCGCAGTCGTTCCTGGTCAGGTCTTAAAATGTATATATATACTCACTTGGATTACAAACCCTAAGAACAGCATTCATATATACAGCGCTCAAAACTAGTGCTTGCCGAGTGGCTACCTTAATGAGCACAACTATGACTAAATTTGAAGAATACGATTTGTCGCAGAAGCAATAAAACGAAAATTTGTTCTCAATTACTATAAAATCAACAAGCGTTGACTTTATAAAATCCTTTATAAAATCCAATGACATGACCAATGATAGAAAATTACCTGTACATCTGATAATTGGCGCAAATGAATATGCCAAAATTCGAACGCAAACCCAAGCAGGAGTTGGTAGACAAGGCGAACCATGCAGTCACTGATTTAACACGTTCTGGTTGGGCTATGGCACCCTGAGACAGATTTTCATATTTTCGTTCGGGGGGGGGGGGGGGG